TAGGCCAACTTACGGACTTAGTGCGACTCTGTCTCCAAAAAAAGGCAAAGCACAATATAGCTGTGTGCAAAGGCAATTTCCCTAACGCCTCACTAAAAAAAAAAAAAAAAAAAAGAGAGAGAAAAGAAAAAAAAGGTTGAGGCGTGGAGTACAATGGTGCATACCTGTAATCTCAACCACCTGGAAGACTGAGGCACAGGGATCTAAATTCAAGGCCAGTCTGGGCAATTTAGCAAGGTTTTATCTCAAAATAAAAAGTAAAAAAGCCTGAATCAAGTGTGGCAGTGCATGTCCCTATCTGCAGCGCTGTGGAAGGCTAAGGCAAGAGGATCACAAGCTCAATCCCAGCCTGGGCAATTTAGCAAGATCCTGTCTTAAAATTTAAAAGGCCAAATGATATAGCTTGGTGTGAACGCCATAAGTTCAACTCCCAGTACTGCATAAATGAGGCTGAGGGTGCAACTCAGTGGGAGAGTGCCTCTGGGTTCAATCCTCAGGACACCCCCGCAAACATAATGTTCTCAAAGGGAATCACCAAATGCTCAAACTCTTACCATAAAAATGTTTACTAAACATTACAAGGTTTAAGTGCTTCCATTGTACTGATTTATATCCTCCTCACAGTCACTGTATTAGGAGGGCATGTACTATTACCATGCCATTTTGGAAATTAAAAAAACAGCTGCACAGAATTTACAGTAACTTCGTCAAGATCATACAGGCTATTAAGTAGCATCACTGAAATAAATTTCCTATTTTAAAAATTGTACCTATAAAGGATAGGGTAGCACAAAAATCAATGACAAGGTATTTTCCCCAAAATGTGACATGTGACTTACTATCTTTTCCATACTGATCACCAAATAGGAGTAATGGAGGCATTATAGATATGTATGACTGTGATATGGGAAACAGAACCTAATCTATGCCATTTTGTACTCTAGTGATATTTTAAAGCATAAGTTTCTGTTTCTTTAAATTTGTTTCTTGGAAATGTTGTCATAGTTACCTAACCCAATACCACCCCATGCGTTGTCATAAGACCGCTTGTTCCCTATGTAAAATGTCAAACACTTTGTTCCCTTGTCACAAGCTAAGCCCATGCTTTGTAGGAGTATTTGTGTAGCTGCACTAAATCATACCAGAAAAAAACCTAATCACCCCGCTAGACCCAGAACTAGAATTGTATAACTACTCTCCCCTCCTACCTTTCAGGGTTGGTGCCTGCTTCCTTGCTGGGCCAATCGCCCTCTAATAAACTTGCAGCTTCCACAGGTGACTCAATTGAATAAGCACATTTGCCACAACATTTGTAGTGCAGTACTCATCTAATTACCCAGTTAGGTCGAACTTTACAGGCTGCCAAAAAACTGACCTCACCTCAGACACCAGTCACAAGCTGGTGGGGTCTCAGGTTTTGTATCAGACAAGGATAGAGATCAAAGAGATGCACAGTACAAGGTCTGTGAGGGCCCCAAATGTGTGGCCCTTGTGGTCTTCTGGAGTTGGGTCAGATCATCCTTCTTGCATATCTGCGTGACTACAGCATGCAGAGTAGGGAAAGCTCTCTGAGCCTGTGTGCCCAGAGTTTTTACTGGTGATTCATTATATCCCCACAACTGATTTACCGGCCGGAGCTTGGTCTCAGTCTCTAGCTCCTCTCCTTAGATATTAGGCTGCTGTCATAGGCTCAAAGGCCCAACTGTCTAATCTCACGGCTGGTCTTTCCAGAGTTCCCTATTACTATCATCTGAGGGTTCACCTTGTGTTAAAGAAAAGACTTCTCAGAAAGTCTAAATAATACAGATATGGGCGTGGTGGCGCATGCGTATTATCCCAGAACTTAGAAGACTGAAACACAAGGGTCACTGAGTTTGAGGCCAGCCTAGGCTACATAGTAAGTTCATAGTCAGCCTGAACTACACAGTGAGACCTTGTCTCAAAAAATCTAAATGAATGAATGAATGAATGATACAGAGGTACTTCCTAAGAGCTAGAACAAAGGCCAGCCAAGTTCTTTGTTTTACAACAGTAACTGCTTTTGCCATGGTGGCTATGGACCAAGAATCACAATACCTTGTTTTCCAAATACACATCAAAAGCTTTTGGTTTAATACCTTGAAAAACAAAATGTG